AGCTATATCATAACTTATCCTGCTTTTGTTAGCGTTGCTTTTCAGTATGTACCTGGCATTTCTGAAGTTGAGTGAGAGGAACAATTCTTACCAGAGCTGAGACTGTGAAGTCCCTGGCATGCATTTTTTCTGTAAGCCAGTCCACTTTTCTTCTTGTATTCAGAAAGATAACGGCCTGAGTAATGGTCAGTGTCTCATACAAATCGCAGAGAGTATCCAGCTTCCACTCCTGAACACACAGCAGAAACAGAAATAAAAACTCTAAAGCCATGATCAATAAACATACCCTACTGCACACCTATAATTAACATGACCTGGAAAAAACTAGAACAATACACAAAGTTTCTGCAGCAACTGTTGCACCAGATCTTCAGACACAGGACAACGGACATTAAGAAAGAGGTCCACCCCAGTCATTTTCAATCCAGTGCATCATTTTTCTTCTTCTTGCGTGTACTCTACTAGCATTATTACAGAAACCAAAGCTCAGCCTCAGTTTCTATAATTTTAGTACAGTGCTTTAACAAGAAGGTAACATTCCTGAACTCTTCCAACAAGAAGCATAACTGACACCAACCTCTCTTTCAACATTAATGTAGAATTGCTTGATACCCTCCAGAGTCAGTTCTTCCTTCTTCACTAGAATACGTATGGGCTCTCTCATGAACTTTTTGGTCACTTCCAACACATCCATTGGCATCGTGGCTGACAGCAGCACAACCTAGAAAGCATTGCTCCATGTTAGCACACACCAAAGACGACATTAGTTTCTGCTCTGTCACTCTGTTCAGGAGAACTGGAACCATTAACAAAATCAGTGACTGCATTGCCACGTTTATGTCAGAGCACAAACCTGACCTTCTCTGAGGTCAAGGCAGACAGGAAAGCAACTGAGCAGTTATCAGCTACACCTGTAACCAAATCTGCAACCATCAATTCCACCATGTAAGATTCTTACCTGAATGTTAGTGCTTAGTTTCTGGAAGATCTCGTAGATTTGATCCTTAAATCCTCGGCTCAACATTTCATCAGCTTCATCCAGAACAAACATTTTGATCCATTTGGGTGCTATCAACAAAAAGAAAACACTTTGTGAAGTTTGAGGAACATAGAATACTTCATTACTGAGTGCTCAGAGAAAAATCCAATCTGTACTTACAAAGGTAGCGTCTGTTCAACATATCAAACACACGGCCTGGAGTTCCAACCACAATGTGTGGAGCTTCAGCCTGAAGTTTCTGCATTTCATTGCGAACATTTGTGCCACCAATGCAAGCATGGCATGTTGCTCCCATGTAATCTCCAAGGGCCAGAATTACCTTTTGAATCTGGAAATAAAACCCTTCTGTGAGTAGCAGCTACTGGCACATTCAGTGCTACATCATTGCTGCTTATGGACTGGGAAGGATTACGTGGCTCTACAGACTATAGTGAAGATCTGCCTCTCATTTTGCCCTTCTGCTCATTATTTAGGTGTTCATTAGAAACTTCAAGTCAGAAGGACAGCTGTGAAGTTACTTTTCACTCTCACTAGTTTTAACTACCTAATGGCAATTCCCAACTACCAGTTAAGTAGAAAAGCAAGGCCTCAAAAAAGAGCTGTTAACATTTGCACATAAAGCTCTTGCAGAAAACTCTTATGAAAGTGCCCTGCCATCTATGCCAGGCTTTCAAAGCTGCCTCATCTCAACAGTGCCTTCAGACTGAAAAAAACACAAGACTGAACCTTCAGTCAGAGGCTCTTCCTCCAGATATTTTTCTCAAGATTTCTTCTGTCTCATCTCATACATTTAGTTTTACCTTCAAAAAGAATCTTTACCACAGCACTGGCATCTTGGTATATACTAGTTTTAAAAGCAGAGCAATTTTTATGCAATCAATTTTCTACTCTATTCTGAGCTCTGGTCATCTTAACCTTAAAAAACCAGCATTACTAGGTTATGTTATGATAAAAGTTACGTATCCTTTAAGCTCTGTTCAAGCACTCCCACTTACTAAAACAGAACATCAAGCCCTGAGGGTGACATGGACATGCAGTGTAACAGTAAGAAAACATCACAGCATTACAAAAACAATGAAGTGACCACATGTGCACTGCAGTTTTCATGTTGCACAACTGCACGCAAGTTTCAGTAGTTTCAGAAAACTATTTTGGTTCCACTCAGAACACTGTACTTGAGTAACACCTTTTTTTTTTTTTGCTGAAGATGCTCCCTTAGAACTGTGTACAACAGAGCAGCTGCTTCCTGCAGCCCTGCCCCAGCACACCCTCCAAATGCAGCACAACTCTTCAAGCAGTCAGAGAACTTGCGGGACAGAAGCCCGTTCATTTCCCCCATTACTCAACACAAAAAGGGTTCTGAATGGATATGAGTTACAGCCCCTTAAGTCTCACAGTTGTGAAACCTGAAACCTATGCAACACACAAGCAGCTTTTTTTTTTTAACTACACTATCAATACCTGTTGAGCCAGTTCTCTGGTAGGGGCCAATACTAGTGCTTGGGTCTCCTTGAGATCAATCTCCAACTGCTGCAGGATGGAAATAGCAAATGTGGCTGTCTTGCCAGTACCTGACTGAGCTTGAGCAATCACATCATACCCTAAAAAAAGTAGGATACACGTTTACTGTTCCCACACTGGTCATTCACGTTTAGATTCATTTCATTCCCTTTGAAATAAGTGATCAGCATTACAAGTTCTCTCCATTTCAGGTCAGCCCCGAAAGATGGTGTACCATCACATCACTTGTTCCACAGAGATTAAAAACATGTACAAATGCAGAAATAAAATGAACATTATATTCACTTTACATTTTCTTAATCAATGTGTTACTATTGACGGTAAAGGAATCGCTCCCCTACCTTTGATGCATGGAATAATAGCTCTCTGCTGAATAGCTGAAGGCTTTTCAAAACCATAAGCATAAATGCCCCTTAGAAGGGATTCCTTTAAATTCATATCATCAAAATTGTCGACAATCTCATTCCAATTGCTCTGCAATGAAGAAAAACAAACGAGTTTTGGCCGAGTTACTCCATCCACAGCCCAGCTCCATGCATCGGGGCGGTTCGGGGACTGCGCTCACCTCAATGACACCATCGGGCTCCATTCCCTCGGGGCCGCCATGGTCTCTGCGGCAGAACAACACCGGCGTTAGCGACGGGCCGTGACGGATCGGCCCAGCAGGTGCTCTGGTTCCGTGCCAGCCGGCCGCCCCGACGCTCTGCCCAAACCCTCGGCCCGTCGGACGGACGCCCCGCAGCCCCCGGCCTCCGCCTCCCCCTCCCTCCCCGGTCACCTGCTGGAGGCGGCGGGGAAATGGCGGCCGCTGCGCAGTGCGAGATCCACCGCAGCGCCGGGCGTCAGCGCGGGAGAGGGGGGAGGAAGGGGGGGGGGGGGGGGGGGGGGGGGGGGGGGGCCCCCCCGCCCCCCCCCCGTTACCCCCCCCCGTCCGCGTCAGCAAGTCTCGCGAGAGCTCCACCCCTGGGATTGCGCAAATCGGGCACCGAGGGCGGCGAGCGAGGAAGGCGCCGGCACAGCGCCCCGAACATGGCCGCGTCTTCCGCCCGGCCCTCGGAGCCGGAGCGATCGTAGGGAAAGGGAGAAATCGGTGGAGAAAAATAAAAAAGGGGAAATAAAAGCCCGCCAACAAAAACACTGCTCTGTTTTATCGCACAGCGCGCAGGGATGGATCAGATCTAAAAACAGCCCTTTTTCAGAGATGGGGGGTTGTAAAGATAGGCAGTACGAACGAGAACCCCGAGGGAAGGGGCTAAAGGGCCGAACGCTGTGGGGACGCGGGATGGAAACGTCTGGAAGCGGGAGGGGCCGGGGGCGCGGGGCCGGGCAGCACGTTCTGCCGCATCCCGCCCGCTCCGCGCGGAGAAGGGGCCCGGGGCCTCCGCGCCGCGCCATACCTGCTATAATCCGCGGAGCCGCCTGACATGTTCCGATGACCAGCGCTGTCCTCAACTGAAAAGGCAAAGCTTCCGCGGCGGCCGCTTTTTATACCCGCCCGCTGCCGGACTCGTTTCGCTCCGCTCTGCGCATGGATATACGCCTCACACCGCGGCGAAAAAACGCGAATTCCCGCCGATTGAGGCCCCTCCGCCAGCGATCCCTTCCCGCCCGCTCCGTGAGGCGCTCTCAGCGGGTGTTTCTCGGCCCCCGGGGGTCGCGAGGGCAGTGGAGCCTTGGACTACTTTTTCCTCCCCTTGGAGCGCGGAAGGATATTGCACCAGTGGCGGCGTGATGGCAACGCACTCCTTCCTCTCGCCCCCCCTCCCGCTCCGCACGGGGTTTCCCACCCCGGCCCTGCTGCAGCGCGGGGGAGGGGAGCGCGGGGCGCCGCGCTGAGGGGTCGGTGCGCGACATGGCTGCGTCGTGCATGTAGAGCGCGTCGGTTGTTTTTGAAGCTTTCCGTGTGCAGTCCGGGGATGGCAGGGCAGAGCGGCTCCCTCGAGGATCGCGGGGCTCGCCCCCCACACCCCATACACAGAAGTGCCGGCGCCGTGCAGGACGGCTTCCCCGTGTCAGCTCGCGGCGAGGGCGGGAGGGGCCGGCAGAGAGCAGAGGAAAGGAAAGGAAAGGAAAGAGCGGCAGCGGGAGCCGCCCGGCCTGCTTTATGCGGGGGAAACGGCGCCCTGAGGTGCAAGGGATGCTGCCCCTTGCTTTCACGTTTTGGAAGAACGTGTTGGTGGTTTTAATGCATCCCTTGGGCTCCACAGTATTGTGTTCATCGATATTTCTGACAGGCAAATAATGCAAGTTGTAAGCCATCGTTGGTGCCCTCTTTAATTGGTGTTCGTGAGTCACCTCTGAAACTTGTTTCCATAGTGATTCTATAGGAACAAGTGCAGTGCTTGGAAAACACGACCCTTTGCTTGTCAGGAATGCTGAGAATTGTGCAGAATTGACTAGAATATCTGCGAGGAGAGGCCGAACATACTGTGCTGTGGTAGCATCTGCTGGGGAAACACCTCCAGAAGTAACAGCACGTGCCGATGTCCGGGCTGAATCGGACAACCTCTGCTGACCTGCCCTGCTGCTCCCATGCCTGCCCCCGTGGGCTGGGAGGGCTGCGCTTCTGCTTGGGGCTGCCGTTCACAGCAGTGCCTCAGCACCCTCCTGAACCACGGCCGTGCACCTCTGGTGTTTTGTATTCCGCTTTAGTTTATTTGCAAGAATGTGTGGAGAAGCTTTTTAGGATGTTTAGGAATGTCGGCCAGCATTTTCCAGTCTTTGAAGGCCCCTTTAAAAAACTTATAAGCTGCTATCTGGGAAGCAGGTACAGCATTGAAAGGTCAGACTTGGCCACTGACAGCATCTGGGACTTGCTGCATCCTCTGGCTTTGAAGCTTTCTAAGCTTCGTGCAGCCATCTCCACTGAAAGTCTGCTCAAGGCCCGTGTTTGTGTTATCATCGGGCTGAAGTGATACCAAAAAGATATTCAATAATAGCTTTGTCTGTGCTGCTGTCGTTAGGATCCACAGCTGCACTTTATGTGCACGCTATGCGCTTGGGTAGATGTCTCCCCAAAAGACAATCTTGGTGAATCATGAGATCTTTGGTGGGAATGAACAGAACGACGCATTTATTAATACGGGGTAACAGATGGACCAGCTAGTTTAGCAGCTGGGTTTCCAGTCATTACTCATGCAGATCAAAGTGAAGAATGATATATCTAAAGAAAGCAGTAGGAGTTGACGCCTCCTGAAGCTGAGCTCCAGTTGAGCAATCCCTTGGAAATTTCAGAAAGCTCCTTTTAGAAATCTCCTACCACGACTTGAACATACCATGAAGCTGTCACGGACTTCTTGGAAATCCTGGAAGACCCTGAAATCTCTTTCTGCACTTGTGCACAAGCAGTTCCAGCCTTGTGCTGCAGTTGATATCGTGCATTAAATAATTCCCACAGCTAGCAGGGCAGAGAAACATCGTACACAGTTTATTCAAGGTAGGTCGTGCTGAGGATCAAAATGACTTATTAGGGTGTTGTTAGCAAGAGGTAATGTTTTTCAATTCGTCGTTCCCAAAGGATCCTGCCTAAACAAAAGCATGCTTCCTTGGATGTAGGAGTGGATAGCAAAGATTCTGGAAGGTCTCCAGGGGAGAGAAAAGGTCTGAGTTGCAGGAGCCCCATGCCTGTTATTTAACTAGTCCCAGGGTTTCGTTAATGCTGACTTATCTTGTCATTCCACTGAAACTGCAATCTAGACAAATTAAAGAATAGTAGTTTATAAGGTGCAGTACTGTTAATGCACTGAGGCTTGTTTTGTATTCACTAGTATTTTGGTATAATTTGACATCCACAGAATGATGATTTTAGGTTGGATTTGTCATCCTTTTTAAAAGTTATTTCACAACTTTAGTGGTGTTTTTTTTTTTTCCCAGACATATTTGTGCTCCCTGTAGCTGCAATCAGGCTTTAGTTATGAAGTCTCCATGATGCCATGTCGAGTGAAGTGGAAGAACTTCCAGAGGTGGCATTTTCTCTCTTAGTTGAAGATCTGTCTCAGTGAGTTGTTGTGCTTCAGGCCGATGAGGAACATTGCCCAAAATGCTTAAATGAATGAGGAGCCGAGCGCTGTGCAAAGCCAATGGGATTTGGGCCGCTTTATTTCATTTCTTTGTCCCTGTGCTCAGTGTGTTCTGGATGTTCAGACTTCGTGTCGAGGCCATAGGGTGGATGGGGCCTTTTGCTGAGCAGCTGACTCACTCGTGTGCAATGTAGGCACCGTGGTTTGTGGCTGTGCTCCCTCACTGCTCCGAGAGCAGGTCTGCAGCGCTCCTCCTTCACCTCTGTACGGTTGTGTCTCTTAGCCTGAGTCCTCTCATTGCCTGTAGTATAACGGATATTCCCAAGGCAAGTACTTGAAGCAGAAGAATATCTTTACTTCTGTCATTTTTTTTAATCATTAACTCCTCTGTGTATTGTGGAGCTCCATGGTCATACTTTCAGGTCTTGAATGCTCTCCTTGCGGAATGATTGCATTATTTCTGACAGTTGTAGAGGTTTGGAACCGTGCCCTGGACACGCCTGCAGCTGAGCTCTGTTCTCTGGTATCTGAAAGACTTTCGATGTGACCACAGCCCTGTCATTCTAGCAGTTAAATCGAATAGGTGATACAAATTAGAAGCTTTCCATTGACTTCTGTTGGGATGCGAAGTTTGCACTTCAGTATTGTTCCTTTGTGAAGTGGGGAAGCAGTACTTTCCTCAGAGGTTACGTGTGGGCTGGTGTTTGAAAAATGTGGAGATATGTAATGGGAAGAGGCTTAGAAAGCATTTGATAGGAGTTGCCTGCATGCTTTCAAAATAGAGTTTGTTCTTTCTGTTGCAAAAGCAAAGAAAGAGCGATTAAGCAGGTGGCAGCTGCAGATAACGTCCGGGCAGTCCTGGGCTACATTTGTTTTTTAAGTTAATTAGAAGGCTTCTGCACTGCTCTGAGTAGCATGTCATGTATTTCCCTGAGAAAGTCTTCAAATAATGTTTTTTTTCCTTTGCTGAGAAAAAGGTAATTTAATTGTATAAAGAAAGCACTTTTCCCTTTGATATTGGCAAGTCATCTAGGTAAGTTATTTGTTCTCGTGGTTGTTCAATCTGGAATCCCATGAAGATGCCTGAGATTTTTAGTCACTGAGCTGATTTCACTTCAGTTTTGAAAGAGCCGTACTGGCTGAGCTGCAGCTGTACTGAATTTGAAGTACCTTTCCTCATTGATTAAACAAGCCTCCAGGAAGCACAGTGGTGTTTCTGTCCTTTCAAGGAGGACCCAAAGCCTGTGAGCTGCGCCAAGGCAGGAGCCCCGCAGTGCCTCAGCAGCTGTTGGATTGAGCAGGGCTGTATCCACAGCATCACTGTATGTAGTAAAACAAAAAGCCTCAAGAGAGCCAGCCCTGTGTGTGTGCTGAAGTCTCCATCTCCTCCAGCAGAGCGTCTTAACCTGTAAAACGGAGTATTTTGCGTTTAAAGAGCTTGTTCCAACATGTAAATGTTAGCAGTAAAGATGGTTGTTAATAAAATGAGCTGTGTCGGTAGAGGTATTGCCTTGAGGTAAACCTTGGCTTCTAGAAACTGAACGTTTTCCACAGAGCTTTAATTTTTGTAAGAAATTGGCATCTGTTTCTGTCTGGAGGAAAGCACAGCTCAGATTCCCCCAGTTCTGGTTCTGTCAGCAGTGCTGGCTTAATAGGAGAATGCAGATAAGTACTTTCAGCCTTGTGCCCTCATTTCATCTGCCTGGAAAATTATAATCTCCTATTTTAGAAGTGTCCCTTAGACTGTAAACTGTTGAGGGACTGATTGCTTTCTGTGCTCTGCTTCCATCTGCTTCTGGTCATTCCGGGAGGGGAGCTGAGGTTTCACCTGGGTTTTAAAGAAAAAGTAGTGGAGGTAAACATTGAGGTGTGTTTAATCACTTTTGTTTTGTTAATCCTTGTGAGATTTTTGTTTTGTATGAAAAAATGTAAATATTAGGAGGCTTTCCTCCCTCCCAGCATTCCAGATGCTGTTGCCAGGACTGGGTCTGAAATGTGTGCCTTGAAGCTGCTGAGGAGCTCACTTGTAAGCCTTCTCCTCTTTTGTTTGTGGTTTCTTTTTAGGGTTGTGGAGCACCTGCAGGCCAGCCCTCAGCTCCCATGGTTTGTGCTGTAGCCCACCTCAGAATGCTATTCTGTTTTGTATGCTGAGTGAATGCTACTGGCAGAAATGAACGTGTAAGGTGCAAGACAGTGAAAAACTTGTTCTTTTATTTTCAGGTGGTGCAGAACAGAACAGCTGCCCAGGTTCTGCCAGGATGCAGTAATGCAAGCACAGCCAGCACACAGGTAATCACATTATTTTGGCTTGGAACTGCTGCAGCACTGCTTGTGCTAACCCGGGGCTTCATGACACTGCTGTCAGCAGTGACCAGAAATCTTTGTTCTTTACACAGCAGGAAACAGAAATGACAGTTCATGTTGAATTACAGAAATATATTGATTTATTTCATGCAGATCTGGGAAGTACTGAGATGATAATTTACTGGCTTTTTTTTCAATAAATGAAGCAAATGCATGTTCTGCTGTTGAAAGTCATTTTGTCCTGTGCTAGGTACTGCAATAGCAAGACTATGAGCTCTTGTATAACACGATTCCTTTTGTTTTAGCAGGAATTTAACAAAGCACTGATTTAGTTTATTTGCCAGTAATGAGTAAAGACTCAATTGCAAACTATTTACAGCTTTCTGGATTTATGTGGATGTGATGTTTTGTGCATCTTGAGCTCAGAGTTTTTCCATTCTCACATTTCTGTATGAAAAAGCTGAGTATCAGGGATTTTACATAGCTTCAATTCATTACACGAAAGGAGTTCTCTAGTTTCCTTTACTATTGTACATTTGCATTGCTAACATTCATCTTCTGGACATGGAAGCTTCCACCTTTGGGAGCACATTTTTTCCTGAAATCGCATCAGAACTGCGTTTGTTAATTCTCACTGCATTGGAATTGTCTTTGCTAATTTACTGGGCTAACGAACTGCATGGCTTTCTGCAGAAGGAAAGAGAGAGAAGCGCGAACCGTAAAGAACTGCTGCCTCAGAGCTGCTGTTGCCATAGAGCTTCTAATGAGGAAAAAAACTGCAGCAAGGATTTCTGCTGCTGCTGAAGGTAAGATGAGGGCACGCAAAGGCTGTAAGAGGGGGTGGGGAGGCAGAGGGAGGGAGAAGAGGAAGAAAGTCTGCGTCCTTGCTGCCTAAAAAAGGAAATTCAGTTTCAGTGTACACGAGTAGAATTGCTGGTGCAGAAGAACAAAGCTATCTCGGTTGTTTAGGGTAGCAGGAGTGATGAGCAAGCAATCGCATTCCCATGCTTTCGGGAGGAAATGCTGCAAAGAAGGGAGGAGAAGCAGAGCTGTCGTTTAGAAAATACTGCTGCTTCCAGATACCTGCTTCTTGGCACTGTGCTGGCGTTAGGATTGGTCCCCAGGGCAAAGACAACTGTGAAAAAATCAGACAGATAAGCAGGAAGTAAAATTAGTGCTGAAAATGTTCAGCATACGCTTACAAATTCTGTGGGTCTGTATTAAAATGTGTTACATTCAGCAGTGCAGTGCTGTGAAGCCTTTCAAACTGCAATTGTGGTTGTTTTTTTACAGTGAAGTTGTTATGATAAATGAATCCTTTGTCAATCTTTAATGCTGAATACAGAACTGAGGTCAGACCTGCTTTCTGTGGAATCTCTTGAACAGGGAAAGCTCTGTAGAATAAGACTCTCTAAAATCTCTCCAGTATTATCCACAAAATACTCATCCCAAAAGCTGTTGTCACTGTTTCCACGTCTGTTGTATCACATTTTGCAGCTGTTTGCTATTGCTTCCCTGCTCATTCTCAGTCTCTTATCACTTTCTGAGATGACTTAAGCCCTGCCCAGCAAACCCAGCACACCTGCCATGTTTTCACAGCAGGACCCTTAAGAGAATAAAACAACTTTTAGAGGGTGTACTAAAGACAGTGATAACACTGAGTGTCTTAGCTACACTGAGAAAAGTGTGTTTATATTGCTCAACCACCTGCTCAATGTACTGAGTATGTTTGGATAAAACAGAATTGTGAATTTCCTTTGCAATTTCTTAATTTGCACTTCATCACCACTTATCAAATGTTTGACTGTTTCTCCTTCAATTGTGTCTGAAGATTGGCACAGAGTGAGTTTTTCCAGTAGCAGCCTGTTAGATTGATCGAGAATTATCAGTACAGGTTATAAAGAAATGTATATTTGGGATTCTGATTGCTGTCAGCATTACAGTCTCTCACTACGACATGGTTATTCTGTGAGATGATGGGAGTTGCATGAGCCATTTCTGAGGTGGGAATTGCACTGTGAAAGATCTATTGATTATAACACATCAGTTATTTTCAGAGGTACGTCATGAGGAAGCAAATGTGTAAGTGTACTTCTTGGGAGTTTGACTCATTTTGTGAGTCACACTCACTTTGTCAGTCTCATGCACAGCAGATAGACTATCTGCAGACTTTGGAACCATTCTTACCTACAGCAGTCCTCAGTGAAGCCAGTGGTTGATGACATCCTGTTAAGGTTTGCGTGGATCTCTTGAGCTAACACATGAAGGTGAAGTCTTACTCCATGATTGAGGTGACCCTTGATGATACAAGCATTTAGTTCAATGTCAGCAGGAGGTTTAGTGGTTTTCTGCTCCAAAGGGTTACTAGGGTCTTGTGGGAGTGAATAATTACGTATCTGAGTTCCACACTGCATTAGACTGCATTTTGGAGAAGTTCAGTCAGCTTGTGGATCACATTCCTTGGAGTTCTTCAGAAATCCCAAACAATACCTTAGTCAAGTATGACTCTGTATTATAAACACCCCATATGGCAAAAGAAGGTGATGGAAGCTCCTTTGAGTGGGATACAGGCACTGCAGAGCAATGACAGGTAATAAAGAAAGAAAATTGGCTTTCCGCTTCTGCCACCAGAAACAGCTCAAGAGGAATGCAGTCTTTACTCAGCTGCTAACCCTTGAATGAGGATGAGGAGTGGATCCCAGCTCCATCTCTTCCAGTCACTTACATGCACTGCTTGCTCCCTGAGCTCCCTGGTTAGCCATGACTTCTCACCTGGCAATTCCACTCCACTCCTTGTATAGACTGACTGTCCAGGGAGGAAGGAATGATCCTTAAGCAGATTAAAATTTAGTTGCCTAAAATAAGCTCTTGGTGGGAAGTTATTGTTGCACAGTCCTAGATCAACTTAATGTAATTCTACATCTACAAAAAGCAGACAGCTAGAAGCACTCATGTTGCTAATTGACAGATTATTCTCAGATATGGGTAAGTATCTTTTGCATAAAGTACATTTTGTTGCAGTTGATGGTGTCCAAGTACATATTTATTCTGAAAAAGTGAAGACCTACTGTAGTGCTAATGCAGAAATGTCTTGGTGTGTGAAATGGAATGCAGATACTTTATGACCTTCAGATCAAAGCTGCTCTGTCTTAGGCTGTGTAAGCTACAACCATCGTGTCTATGAGCTTTTGTGGAAGTTTCAGAGGTGTTTTGATTGTGTTGTGGTGGAAAAGGGACTTTGTCTAAATCTAGCCTAAACGAAGGAGTTGTTTATAAATCTGCTGATCTGTCCATGTGTTTGTATGGAGCTCCGAAGAAAGAGGAGATGTTGCACTTCATGCTTATTTTCTTTCTTCTTCAATCTGGGTTATATTGTGGAATTGTTTAAGGAAAGAATGAAGTATGGCAAAACTTTGGCCAGAACACACTAATCTCTGCATTTGGGCCAGGAAAAAAAAAAAAAGAGAGAAAAAGCAATTAAGCCACTGGTGTTGCTGTGATTAATGCCAGGACCTGCACCAGTTCCCAAAACTTACCAAATGTGAGAGTTATTTTAATGGTTCATGTTGCCCATAATCCCATTTTTTTCTGTTTGCTAAGAGGTGCTGCACTGCTCTGTGTCCAGTTCTGTCTCTTTCAAGTAATACAATTCTTCACCACGGGCATTGGCAGTGCCCTAAGGCTTGATGTGTAGAAATGCTGAGTAGCCACCCTGCCGTTCAAAGCTAGTAGCAGCATTTCTCAGCACGGTTTTAGAATCAGGCCTCTATGCTCAAATGAGGTTTTTCAGTTTAGCTGTCCTAAGGCTGTTTAAATGATCACTCTGAATTCACCTGGACACCTCAAGCTGATCTATTTTTTTTCTTTAGGAAGTATTTTGCTAATAATGGGTTGATTTCAGGGAAGCTGGAATCAGTATCCCTTGATTAATATTATTCTCTGTGACTCAGAACTGAAAGAGCAAGATGGGTAGTTCACAATGTGAAAGCAGGAGTTCAGTGTCTCATATTCAAGTTGCAAATCAGCAACATTGGAATTCATGGCAGAAGAGGTCAGAAGGCTGGGTTTCTGTGACCTTTGTTATTACGTTCTGAGAAGAGTTATTCCTTTAGAGCTTATGTTCAGGTTTTTGCTGAGCTGCAGATCAAATCAGTTCAGTAGCACCAGAAATTGTAGTACTTGTTGCAAGATGCCTTACCCAGTTAGGAAAACTTTCACTGTTTCCTTCTTGAAACAGCCTTCCTCCTGCTTTGGGATGCAGTAGAAACATGATTATTAGCTATGTTGTACCAAATCAAATTCGTTTAGTGCTTAAATTAAACGGTGGAAACTGAATTGCAAAAATGGAGTTTGTGAACACAGTGAAATCCTGAGTTGTGTGAGAGTAGCTGGTCGTGGAATGGAAAGTGTCTGTTTCAGTTGTTTTTAAGAATATTTGAGGAATCTGGATATTGTATTTTGTATGTCTAAGTGTGGGAGGCCACATAGTGCTGCCATTTCTAGTTCTGTAGCCACTTAAGCCCGTTTTATCCGCAGAGCTGTGATTCTTGAATTGAGAGCAATTATCCTGGTGGCTGATAGACTTCAGAAAACAAGGAAATAAATGGGTTCTTACATCTCATAAAATTCCAGTGTCTGCTGTTTGTTCTCCTTGCTTTCCGTTGTCAGGTGCCTGCAGAGCTCCCTCCATGGCTGGTTACACTTGGGGAACATAGCATTAGATGATGACTGGAATTACAGAGTGTAACTAAAAGGTTGTGTCTGAATTACAACAAGCACCCAGCAGGCGACTCATAGCAAAGCTGAGGAGTTTTTTGCATGTCATTTAAATATGTGTTTTGTCTCATTGCCACATATGGAACAACAGAGCGAAAAGAGCACTTTAAATCCAGACAGTAACAAAATGGCCATCAGGTGGCTCTGGTTCTCAGCAGTATGAGGAACAGAGGTTTGATTCAGACGTATTTTCGTGCCCCAGGCTACCAGTTCCAGCTCTGTATGAGCCAGAATGCTATCGGTTTTTTCTTCTGAGGCAGGCTTTGCAATTATTTCTTTACATTCACGTACAGCTTTATTTCTACACCTTGCACATAAGGAGTAACTGGCAAACTTTTTAAGCTCAGCTGATGGAGGTTAGCATTTCGTACAGGTTACACAAGCGTGGTGTTACTGATACAAAAGGCACGGAATTGTTAAGCCTGCTCAACCTTTCGTGGCTATCACGAAACCGTCATTCGGGGATGGTGTTTGGAGATCAGCGGTTTGGCTGCAGCAGGAAATCTGCCATCTGCTGGCCGAGGGGGGAAATTACACGGCAAGAGCGCTCCGGTGGCTCCAACGAGAGGAGAAACTGGCGGCTCTGAGGAGCTTTTCGGCAGCCGGGTGTTTCAGAGCAGCTCGGTAGTTTTCTGACAGCATGTTTTTCCATCAGAAAGTACTGTGCTGTTATAATGAAAGCTTTCTGTGGGAGCACGTCAGTGGGAAACAGGAATGTTCCATTCTGAAAAGGTCAGAACGTACCGTGTCCACATTTTTACACTGCAACGCTGGTTTTTAGTAAATAATGTTTGGTTTTTTTAAAGTAATCATTTTGGTACACTATAAAAACAAGAAGTCAAAATTAAATGGTCTTCTTTGTACGAAGCACTGCTGAGGCCTTGTGCAATCACTGTGATACATGAGGAGTTCGAGGCAGTGAGAAGTGTGGGAGCTCTGGCTCTCACTGTGCTGCTCTGACCGCTGCTGTGGCTGTGCAGGTGTGCCCTGCATGGCAGTATGGCAAGGCTCTGCTTGTCTTTTCATT